CGTCGTGTCAGCTGTCTCCACTCCGACCGTTGGGGTGAGTTTCGCTCCGGCATTCTCGCTGGATTCTGTCGCGAGCAGGGCATTCGTCAGTCCTGGACGCTTCCAGAGTCCCCACAGCAGAATGGGGTTGCTGAGCGCCGCATAGGCCTGGTCATGGAGATCGCCCGCACCTCCCTGACTCACGCCTGTGCCCCCCATTTTCTGTGGCCCTACGCGGTCAGGTACGCCGCGCACCAGCTGAACCTTTGGCCACGTGTCTCTCGACCAGAGTTTTCACCGACCAGTCTTTGGACAGGGTCCCCTGGTGTTGCGTCGCGGTTTCGCGTCTGGGGGTGCTTGGCTCTTGTCCGCGACACCTCCGCGGACAAGCTCTCGCCTCGTGCCGTCCCCTGTGTCTTCCTTGGTTTCCCTGAGGACTCCTCTGACTTCACCTTTTACCACCCTCCCTCTCACCGGTTCTTTGACTCCCGTGACGTCCGTTTTGAGGAGTCCACTCCGTACTACGTCAGGTACCCCAGTCGAGGTCTCCCGGTTCCTCCTCCCCCCCTCTTCCTGACTGCAGCCCCCCCTCCTGCTCCCCCGGTACAGCCTCCCCCCCCTGGTCCAGCCCCGTCAGGTGTGTCCCAGGCTACCCCTCCTCCTTCGGTAGCCCCTCCGGTACAGCCTCCCTCCCCACAGTCCTCCTCGCAGCGTGCCGCTGGTGCTAGCTCTCGAGAGGTTAGTGTTGCGCCTGTTCCTGTACCGGTTTCTGGTTCTGGGGGTGCTGGAGTTGGAGCTGGAGTTGGAGCTGGAGTTGGCACTGGAGTTTCTGGTTCTGGGGGTGCTGGAGTTGGAGCTGGAGTTGGAGCTGGAGTTTCTGGTTATGGAGTTGGAGCTGTCCCGGTGGGTGCAGCGGACTCTTGTCGTCCGGGAGCTGGTGCTGGTCGCGCGGCCACTGGGGGTGCTCCGTCTGGGGGTGAGGGTGCGCCTCCTTCGGGTTCAGGTGAGCCTGGGTCTGGAGCTGGTGTTAGTGCTGCCTCTGGGGGTGGTGCGCCTAGTTCTTCGGGGGTGGACACTGGAGCTGCCGCTGCTTCGGACACTACTCCACCCCCCCGCCCCTACCCGACTAGGCACCAGGCTCGTGTTCGCCGTGCCCGTGACGAGCAGCTGGCGTTGGAGAGAGAGGAGAGGGAGTTACAGCGGCTGGAGGAGCAGCAGCAGCAGCTGGACCCGCAGGAGCAGCAGTCCCAGCAGCAGCCGCGTCCGCAGCAGCAGCAGTCGCAGCCGCAGCAGCAGCAGCCACTTCCTCCTCCTGTCTCGGGTCTTCGGACCCTTGGTCTCCCCTCCCCTTCTCCTCCCTCCTCCGCCTCTCCTCCTGTCTACGGTCCCACGTTTCCTCCTCCTGACTCCTCCCCCGCTGTTTTCCCCAGTTCTCCGCCCTTGTCCTCTTCTCCTCCGTCTCGTTCTTGGGCTACTCGTCGCTCCCCTCGTGCTCGTCCCTCGTCTCCTGTTCCCTTCACTGACCTTCGTACTGCCTTACTTTGTTCTAGTCCACCTCGTCCGTCTCAGTCTGTGCTTCTGTCTCCTCCTGAGTCGGCCCTCACTGTGTCGCTCCCTGCTCCTGTCACTGACTACTACCGCACGTACCGTCCTGTTCTCTCTCGTGTTCTCGCCTCTCTTGTTACTCACCCTCGTGTCTCTGTGTCCTCTGTGTCCGTTCTTACTACCGCGGTTACTGACTTTGCCTCTACCCGCCGCCTTGACTACGCCACCACGCTTGTGACTGCTCCTCCTACCAGTCCTCTGGCCGTCGGGGGTGTGTCTGCCCTTGGCTGTGACGCCCTAGAGGACAGGCAGTTTGAGCTAGAGTTCCTGGCGGCCGCTTCCCCTCATCTCTGTGCCATGCTCCTCGCCCCTGAGGGTGACCCCGACGCCCTTGACATTCCGACTCCTCGCACTTACGCTGAGGCAGTGTCAGGGCCTTGGGCCTCTCAGTGGAGAGCTGCCATGGACGCAGAGATGGCCTCCTACAGATCCACAGGCACCTACGTCAATGAGGTTGCCCCCCCTGGGGCGAACGTAGTCGACGGCATGTGGATCTACAGGGTGAAGCGGCCACCGGGATCTCCCCTGGTCTTCAAGGCGCGCTACGTGGCTAGAGGTTTCAGTCAGCGCGAGGGAGTTGACTTCTTTCAGACCTTCGCACCTACCCCGAAGATGACCACTCTTCGGGTGTTACTACACGTAGCAGCACAGAGAGACTACGAGTTACACTCTCTCGACTTCTCCACTGCTTTCCTTCAGGGCAGCCTACACGAGGAGGTCTGGTTGCGTCATCCCTCGGCCTTCACTGGCACTTTCCCTCCTGGGACCCAGTGGAGGCTGAGGCGACCTGTTTACGGTCTTCGCCACGCCCCTCGTGAGTGGCACGACACTCTGCGTTCTACCCTCTCTGACCTTGGGTTCCAACCGTCTTCTGCCGACCCGTCGCTGTTCGTTCGTCGTGGCTCCACACCGTTCTTTGTTCTGGTCTACGTCGACGACCTCGTTTTCGCCACTCCGGACAGGGTTGCTTTGGCAGACGTGAAGTCCGAACTGTAGAAGAGACACACGTGCACTGATCTTGGTGAGCTGCGCCACTACCTTGGCCTGCAGATCACCAGGGACAGAGCCGCTCGCACCATTACACTCTCACAGTCACACATGGTGCAGCAGGTCCTTCAGCGGTTCGGGCTTCAGCACTCCACCGTACAGCGCACACCTCTCGCTGTTGACCACAGACTCACTGGTCCCTTTCCTGACAAGCCGTTTGAGCCTAGTGGACCCTACGCAGAGCTTGTGGGTTGCCTCATGTACCTGATGACTTGTACTCGCCCGGACCTCGCCTTCCCTCTCAGCATCCTTGCGCGCTTTGTTGCGCCAGGGAGACACCGTCGTGTTCACTGGACGGCAGCTGTGAGGGTGGCGAAGTACCTAGCGACTACATCAGGCGTGGGGCTAGTTCTTGGAGGGCAGCAGTCTGTCGTACTCACTGGTCACTGTGACTCCTCTTACGCTGACGACGCTGAGACTCACAGGTCTACTCAGGGGTACTATTTCAGTCTGGGTTCTGGAGCTGTTTCCTAGCGTTCCACGCGCTCCTCTTCTGTCTCGACCTCTACAGCTGAGGCTGAGATTTACGCTGGTGCCATGGCGGCACAGGAGTTGCGGTGGTTGACCTTCTTGCTCGCCGACCTTGGTGAGCGGCCGAGCTCTGCACCGACCTTGTTTACTGACAACAAGGCGTCGATCCTCCTCTGTCGTGAGCCGCAACTGGAGAGCAGAGTGAAGCACATTCACGTCAGGTACTTTCTTCTGCGAGAGTTGCAGAGACGTGGACAGGCTGGCTTCGAGTTTGTGGAGTCCGAGGCCAACACTGTAGACATCTTCACCAAGGCGCTTCCGCCTCGTGACCACCAAAGGTGTTGTGTGCAGTTAGGCCTTGTTGACACAGGTTCTAGTCATGTGTAGGCTTGAGTTTATTGCTTGCTTCGTCTGTACTCTTGCTCTATATACTTGTGATCTCTTGGACTGGCCTTGTGGCCACTGTTGCTTGTGCTCAGAGTGTGTGGTGACGTTGTGATCCACCCTGAGCTTTGTTTTCTTTTGGACTGGTCTTGTGACCGTACTCTTTTTGATTTTGCTAGACACCCCTCACTTAGGCTATGGGGGTGTGTCAAATGTTGTAGCCTGTAGTGAGGTTTATCTTAGGGGGTACGGAAGTTAGGGTTTGTTATATGTACCCCAACCAACATCAATGGAACCATTCATTCCTCATTTTGACAGTCCTAGGGGAAAAAGGTTTGAAATTTCAGTGTGGCCTAACAAAAAAAGTCTGAAATTTCTGTCCCTCAAAAATATCAACACTGATTTTTCAGGGTAGGTAAAAAAAGGACTGCCAAAATCAGGAATTTTAGGGTTTTTTCCCTGATATCTGAGGCCCTGGCCTGAACTGCTCATGCGCAAACAAGACGATACGCGTACTCTACATTGACATAGTCAGTAAGAACACTACTCTGAGCCTAGATACAATATATCAGGGTTCGCTAAAGCACTATTTTGAATGGATCAGTGTTTACAAGTCAGAAATTTTGAAATTGCAGGGACTACCAGGTGAGACGCATATAATCACCCTGAAATCAGGGTAATTAACCTGATAAAATTGGCCTTGTATAGGGGTTGTTCTTGGATATTGCATGCTGACTTCGACATGTTTGGAGGACACCCATCATAAATGGGTATACAAACATAAAAAACCCTGAAGAATTTTCATTATAGACTTCAAGCTTCGATGTGAGGATTGACAAGCCAAAAGAAGCGAGAATTCCCCATGCAGGAAATCATGTGGGCACAGAAGACAAGTCTCAGTGTATAAGTTCATGTTGCAACGCAGTGTAGCTATAAGAGGCAGCAGCCATCAATCACGTACGCCTCCCCACCTTTACAATCACTGCCACCCCCCGCCGTGCCGTCCCCTCACCCTCTTGACCAGAGCTTTCACGGCCCTTCCGTGCACGTGTTCGAATTGGATAGGGTGGTGATTGAACCGCGGTGTACCTCAGTGTATCGTTCCGAATAACCTACAACCATCTGACAGCCAGTCAGTTACCTACTGCTGCTGGAGTCCCTGCTATCAAATATCCTCTCCACATTAGCGCCCACTTAGGTCGTATCCCTGCCTAGTGTCAAGAAGTTAGTGTCAAGAAGTGCTCGCACCCTATTGGTCCAGAACAAATTTCTGGCCAATGCGATTGGTCAATCGTTTTTTTTAACCAATCGCATGCGCAAACTTTTTGACACCAACTTCTTGACACTAGGCAGGGATACGACCTTACCTTCTCACTCCACTGCACACTCCCGACCAGCGTTCATATTCACCCTATTCCGCAACATTCATAGACTAGACCTACACCCACCCATCACGTGCAGCACGCAGCAGTACCCGATCCGATCCGACCCGACCCGACTCTTGGCGATGAAGCATGAGGAGACTCTTACCACGTCATCCCAATCCGTTGCACGTGCTTCCCGCGCCGCGTTGCTCTCCGCCGCTTGCTCACTCTGCTAAACCCAAACCTCCCACGACTTCTGTGCATTCTGTTCCCCTAAGAGCTTCCCCCGATTGTTCCCCCCAAGCCCGCTTGCTCATCCCCTCCTACCTTCCGCGCGCTCTGCTTCCATGCCCCCCTTTTTCCCCCGCCGCATTTTGCCCTAACGCTTCTAGCTCCTCTCGCGGCGCGCTTCGTTGTCACTGCACGCGTCTCGCGGTTCCTTCTTCCCCTACTGAAACTCGTACTATCCGCCCGCTCTTTCCGCTTATCCTCTCTCCTCCGCCGAATCGTGCGTGGAGGCCCATCACCCCGTGGACTGCCACCGTCGCCGTCTCCCGCAAAGGCGGCTCGACTTCCGCCGTCCCGCGCGCCTTTTCCAGCGTTTGCCCCGACCCCTCGCGCGGGCTAGCGTGCGGCGCGGGGAAGAGAGCAGCGGAAGTGGTAGGTGACTCGGTACTAGAATCTGATTCCGCGTTAGAGTCTGATCTGGGCCCCACGCTGCCAGACACGCTCGTTGGGTCGGCGAGCGCGCCGGAAATCGCGCCGGAAGTAGCGGCGGAAATTGCGGCGGAAAGCGCGGCGGGATCGGGGGTGCTGGTGGAGATGGACGTGGTTCGCGCGAACTTCGAGGAGGGTCTGGCGGCGTTCGAGGAGGCTTTAAAGACGTGTGACCTGGTGGCGTTTGATGGCGAGTTCACGGGGTTACACGTCAGCAACACCAGCAACTACGGGTACTGACGACGCCACGCGCGGATTGCCTGGTTGCACCCAAAATTCCCTTGGCCTTGCTGCTGTTGTTGCTCAAACTTCTCTCCAAGTTGCGCCTCCATTGTGGGCTGTGCTGTGCTATGCTGTGCTCTTCTTAATTCTCGGTATTTGACCAAGAAGCTTGTTGGTCCCTTACATCCCCTCTTCCTCCCCTCCCGCCCCCCGGCCCGCCTCTCTCCCCCCTCACCTTCCCCCTTCCCCTGCGGCTGCGCACGACCACGCGCGTGTGACCAGATTGCAGCTGCTGGACTCGCCGCAGCAGCGGTACGAGCGCGTGAAGGAGGGCGCTGGCAGCTTCTTCACCATGCAGGTGAAGGGAGGGCGAGGGAAGCTGAGGGCGGAAAGGGACGGGATGGTGGAGGAGGGGATTGTAAAGAGTGGGGTTGAGTGGGGGATGAGTGGGGAAGGGCGAGAGGCAGGGGTTCCGGAGTTGGGGGTTTGGGCTGGGGGAGATTTGACGTTTGAGTTTTTTTCGCTGGGCGCAACACGATCACTGGGGAAAAGGCATGGGGAGAAGAGACACGGGGGCGTTGAGTTTTTTCGCTCAATGCTCAGGTGCGAGAGAGAAGGCAGAGGGCAAAAGAGCACCTTTTTTAGAGCGAGGGCGGCTCTTAGATTCTACCTTTCATGGCACTTTCTCCTTCATGGCACCCTCTTCTCTCCTGTGTGTTTCCTTCACACAATCCCCATAATCCCTCCCCTCTCCCCCGGTTGCTCCCCGCCCCGTTTCTCCCATCCCACTCACTGGAGCATAGCCGTCTTCTCCTCACCCCCACCCCCTCCCTCCTCCACCCCCCTCCGTCCGCTCCCCATGTGCGCGGGCACCAGCTGGGGTTCAGCGCACTGGCATGGGACGAGGGCAGGGGGGCATACAGTGCGCGCACCTTCAACTTCAACATCTTCCCGCGCCCCTTCCCCGGCTTCGACCTGCGCTTCCTCTGCCAGGCACGCCTGCTCTGCACCCGCCACTCCCTGCCTCCTACCCAACACTCACGTTCTCCCACGTCATCGCACCTCTCTTCAACCCTTGTCACCTCTCGCCACTGTACAAATCGCCTCTCCGTTCATCCCATCCCGTCCGCCCAGTCCACTCGACTCCCCTCCCTCCCACCCACTGCATGCCCCAGGGTCGCTCGCAGTCCCCCCTTGATTCTCGGTTCTCTTCCACCTCTGTCGTTGCCTCTGCCTGACGGCCCATTTGTTCTTGCCTGCCTGCGCGTTTCCGTGTGTGAGGGCGCACGCACGCACGTTTGCATGTGCACGCGGGTGCCTGCCTGTGCATGTGAATCTGTGCGTGCTGCTGTGCATCGGCATGTGTGTGCATGCATGCATGTATGTACCGATCGTCACGTGCTGTGGTGCGGTGCGGTGCGGTGCGGTGAGAGCAGGCGTCATCAATGGACTTCTTAGCGCGCAACAACTTTGACTTCAACAAGTTCGTCTACCAAGGTACCCTACCCATGTAACCCTCTCAACCTACCCATGCTATATTCTCTCTCCATCACCTCTGAGTCTGCTGCTGGCGTCGCTACTGCTGCTGCTACCCCCCTGCCGCCGCCGCCGCCACCGCTGCTGCTTTGAACTTGCACCACCTTTCCTGCCCACACAGCGTTCACTCCTTTCTTCCCTCCATCCAGTCCCCTCCCGCTGCCTCTCCCATCACGCACTGAATTGCCCCTCCAACGCTCTTCGCCTGCTCTTCCGATCCCACCCTCCCAGTCCTCCCTTCTCTTCGCACCCACTGCATTTCACCCCTTCCCCATTTATCCTCTCCCCCTTCTTCCCGCCCACCCCTCCTCTCCCATTTCCCCACTCTCCCCCCTCACAAGGCGTGCCGTACCTGCCACTGGAGAAAGCCGAGAGGGAGAGGCGGCGCCTGCGAGCATCATTCCGGAGCAGCAAGGGCGGGGCAGAGAACGGGGCAGGCGCGGATGCGAGCAGCAGGCAGCCACAGCGGGCGCCCATAGTGCTGTCTCGGCCCGAGGACAGGCTGGCAGTGGGGCAGCTAGTGGATGACGTGCGCACCTGGGTGCTCTCCACCTCGCCCCCTCCCACTCGCCTCGCCCCTCTCTCCGCACCTGCTGCTGCTGCTGCCGCTGGTGGTGCTGTTGCTAATGGCAAGGCTGGTGCTGCCAGTGGGGACGCAGCAGCAGGCGAGGCGGGAGGAGCAGCAGAAGGGAAGGGGGAGGGCGAGGGGGGCGAGGCGGTGCAGCTGCAGGTGGTGGCGGGGAACTCGTTCCTGCGTGCTGCACTGGTGCAGCAGCTGGAGGAGGAGTTCGGGCAGAGCTCCTTTTATGTCGTGCGCAGGGAGGTGAGCCCGTGTGGTGCTGAGGTGGTGAGGGAGTGAGGTGGTGAGGGAGTGAGGTGGTGAGGGAGTGAGGTGGTGAGGGAGTGAGGTGGTAAGGGAGTGAGGTGGTGAGGGAGTGAGGTGGTGAGGGAGTGAGGTGGTGAGGGAGTGAGGTGGTGAGGGAGTGAGGTGGTGAGGGTGTGAGGTGGTGAAGTGATGAGGGGTTGAGGTTGTGAGGTGATGAGCATGGACATGTGTGGCTTTGGACATGTGTTGCTGTTTACATGTGTGGCGGCTGCATGTCTCTTATTGCTTGATGCGATGCGCTTCAAGACTGCCCTTAACCCGCCATCCTTACCGCTGTGACGGTACTTCCATGTTCTGCTCTCCTTCTCCCTCGACCCCTACACACCCCCTCTCCTCCCTCACCCTTTTCCCCCTCCCCATTCTCCTTTCTCCCTCCCCCTCCCCTCCCCCCAGCGCCCACAGCGCGGCCCTGAAACCCTCCTGCTAGTCCGCGCAACCCAGGAGGACGCGGAGGAGTGGGGGCGGCAGGAGGAGCAGCGGCAGCAGCAGCAGCTGGAAGCGGCCATCGGGTTCACGCGGGCAGTGGAGGCGGTGATGCGTGTGAGCAAGGAGCGCGGGGTGCCGCTGCTGGCACACAACTGCCTCTTTGACCTGGCATATCTCTTCCACCACTTCATCCGCCCCATGCCCGACTCGCTCAATGACTGGCGCCACCAGGTGCGTGCGACTGTGCACGGCTCTAGTACGGCTCGCTTGTTCCTGTTCCAAGGAAACCCCTTCTGAGCCCCCCCTGAACTTGTGCTTCTGGAAAACTCTCCACTCCAACAAACCCGTTCATCACCCTCTCTCCCATCGCCCCCTTCCTCTCTCAGTTCTCCATCTCTCCAATCATCCCGTCCGTCTCTCATTGCCCTCTCTCGCATCGCCCTCTCTCCCCACGTGCGCCTGTGCCAGTTCCTAGAAGCCTTCCCCGGTGGCGTGTACGACACCAAGCACCTCGTCTCGCTCCTCCCGCCCGCGCTGCTCCCCTCCAGCACCTCCCTCTCCTCACTCTTCGAGTTCTTCTTCCACCGCCCTGCCTCACCCTCCTCCACTCCCGTGGGTGACAATGACAAGGAGGGTGAGGAGGCTGCGGCGGGGGAAGGTGATGGGAGTACACGTCCATTTGCTTGCTTTCTCGATGTTGCTGTGGCTGTCAATCAAGAGAAGGAAGCAGAGGGCGAGGGGTTGAGGGAGCGAGGAGAGGGGGTGCGTGAAATCGGTGGAGAGGACACGGCAGGAGCGGGTGGCGAGAGTGTGAAGGGAGGCGAGGGGGAGGGGGGGAGCAGAGGAGGGGAGCAGGAGGAGGCAGGGGGGGAGGAGGCGGTGGTGAGAGTGCAGTGGCCGGCAGTGGTGCATGGGGAGGGGTTCAACCGCTACAGTCATCTGTCGCCAGACAACCCTGCCATGGCACATGAAGCAGGGTGAGTTCCACCGCTGCCGCTGCGGATGGTTACACAGCCACGGTAGTACGGGTCGGGACAGTTGGGCATGGGCGGTTGGGAACGGGGCGTTTGGGTGTGGGCAGGGCAGTGGGATATGCGAGTTGAAGAATGAAGCATGCTACTCTATGGGAATGTTGTCATATGGCCTTATGAGAATTCTCAAAGGTTACTCTAATCTTGTCCTGTTGCCATTCGGTGCAATCCTCTCATCACACACCTTGCTGTTTCCCCGGCATGTGTTGTGTTGTGCATTTGTCCCTCCACCATCGCTGCGCCCAGCTTTGATGCGTACATGACAGCAGCAGTCTTCGTTGCCATCTCCTCGCTCCTCGCCTCGCCTACCCTCTTCTCCAAGGTCACACACTCACTGATACTGCACCTGCACTTTGTGAACTGCATCATCATCAACACAGCAAAGTCAGTTGCTGTACCAATGCATTCAAACTTCCTTGTCACATGACCTCCTTGCCGCATGACCAGCTTTGAGAGAGAGCCCATCAGCTATTTTAGTCCTCCTATCAACCTTTGCCATTCTTCTCATTTTTCCGTACAAAATTCCTCCTGTCTGCAGAGTGTGAAGGTCTTGCCTCGTGCATCAACTCCTAAAGCAGAAGCACCAGGAGCACCAGCAGCACCAGCAGCACCAGCAGCAGCACCAGCAGCAGCAGCAGCAGCACCAGCAGCAGCAGCAGCAGCAGCAGCAGCAGCAGCAGCAGCAGCAGCAGCAGCAGCAGCAGCAGCAGCAGCAGCAGCAGCAGCAGCAGTATCAGCAGAAGCAGAAGCAGGAGTAGGAGTAGGAACGCGATCTGCAAAAGCCAGTGCAGCAGCATCCAGAGCAGGCAGAGGTGATTCAACCACTGCAACTGGGACCACCACATGTCTCAACACAACCACCAGCACCACAGGCAATGCCGGCACCTTGACAGGGAACACAGCAGCACCCACATATGCAGCCATGCGCAGCTGCACCTCCCCATCGCGCATCAACCTCACCAACCCATCCTCACCGCTTTCAGCCCATCGCAACCGTGTTAATGTCATGTTCTGGGACATGAAAACCCTTCCTCTCGACGGCCCTCTGCCTGCCCCTGACCGCTCTAACCTCTTCCTCCTCTCAGGCTTTGATGCTAACTCCACCACCACCTCCTCTATTCTTGACCTCTTCCAGTCAGTAGGATTGGGAGACGTTCGGGTGACCTGGGTAGACCGAACCTCGGCGGTGGTTTCCGTTGCTGATCCGAGCCTGGCTGCGTTGGCGGTGAGTGCAGTGGAAGGGTCTGGGTGGGTGGGAATGATAGAGGCATGGAGAGGGGCGGAGGAAGAAGAGTTGGAGAAGGAGAAGGAGGGTGGAGAGGGGGGGAAGGAAGTTCGGAGGAGAGAGCGGGAGATTCAGAAGGAAGAGGAGGAAGGTGTTGGAAGGTCAGGAAAGCTTCCTAGAAGGAGAGGAAGAGCGACGGAGGAGGAGGAGTTTAAGAAGGAGAAAGGGGCATGTGCAGTGATGTAGCAGGCAGTCTCCATTCGTGCACTGATTGGTGAGCATCTGTGGAGTTGTTACTTGCATTGGTAACGAATCTCTTTTTATCTTCCTAACTGATCATGATGTTCATCATTGGCTGCTTAAACTGTGTAACATCTTTTGGTCAAGTTACAAATCGAGCGCGATCAAAACTTGGGAACAGCAATGCCTCGAGAAACCAGATGAATAATACCGCAATTGTTTCTCAAACTATTTGACATAAGTTGTCGAAAACAATGACCCTGGTTGGTAGTGTAAGGAAAAATTTGTTTTCCTTACTTCGCATCCCTTCTCAGCGAGTACATCACTGTTCCCGCCAACAGCTCTCAACAGTGCACCGTGTCAAACTATAATGCTGCTTATGTTGTGTAGGCTGTAGTGGGGTAGCCTATATAGGGTACAACCCAATAAGGGTTAGCACTTGTATTCAGTTTGATGTCCATGCAGTCATTCCTGCTCGTTAGTTTCTGACATGGTTTCAGAGCAGTAGGTCTGTAGGACCATTTTTTTTCGGGCCCACCATTACCTAGTGACCGACTGCGGTTACCGCGTTACCCCACGCCCTGCCCTGCACTGCGCCGTCAGCGCGCCCTGCCCTGCCCTGCCTTGCGTCACACTGCGCATGTACGCCCTGCCCTCAGGGCTGACGTTTCGTTTTAGGACTCCCTGATTCCAGTAAAAATTTTGACCCTCTATTATGAGGGCACATTTTCCGCAAGGTAGCTACCCTGATAGCTCAGTGTCACACGAAGTCCAACTCTGACCGGACAGGGTTCACAGCTCAAAAACAGGGTTGCTATTAACAGTGCACTATTTTCCAAAATGATACAACTGCATGCACTTTCCTACTCTATCTAGTCTAGTGCACGGGCTTGTCTATGAAGTACACCTCCTCCACATCCTCATCGTCCGACAGGAATGGATTGTCCTCCGCTTCCTCCTCCCCCACGATCTCCTGATCGTCGCCTAAGGTCTGTTCCACTTCATCGTCGTCGTCCTCCTCCTCCTCATCCTCATTCTCCCCGGCATTTCTAGCAGCCACATCTTCACCCTCCTTCTGCTTCCCCCTCCTCTCCCTCTCTGCCACAACCAGCTTCAAGCTCTTCGCTGGGCGCCTCCTCCGCAGGGACCTCCACACCTCCAGTGCCTCCGGCCAGTCGATCTCATACTTGAGGAGCGATATCTGCATCAGCTCCCCCAGACGCGCGTTGCACATCGCTCCTCGCACCCAGGACTTGATGACGTTCTGCCTGGAGAACCCCCTCTCGCACTCCACGGTGGAGAGGGGGAGCATAGCCAGCGCCTGCCACAGCAGGATGAGGTTGGGCCATCTCCTGCCAGGCACATTCGTACACATAACACAACGGAAACAGTTAGCGATGCGCAACAAGATTGTAAAACCCATGTTAGCAAAGTATAGGCCACCTCTTGGAGTCTGCGCTCCCAAGGAAGTTGGACAGGCCCTGGGTGAAGCTCTCCATCTCATGGTGTGCCTCCATGATCGCGCAGAAGGTTGGAAGCTCCCTCTCTGCTGGTTTGAGGTCGAATCCCGGCAGCTTGTTGCGGAACAGCCTGCTGCATCCGTTCAGCCACTCCTTACACTTCTTCTCTCGCTGGGCCTTGATCTTCGGCCACTTCCCCGCCTGGAACAGCTTCGTCGGCCCCAGCTTCCCAAGGTCATCCAGTCGGTTGTTGAGGTTGTCCACGCAGTCACGGGCGAATTTGCGGCACAGCTTCACGCAGTCTGCGTAGGTGCTTCCGTGTTTGTGCCCCTTCAGCTTCCGCTCATGCATGGTGTACAGGTGGTTGATCGGGCGTCCAGCACCATCCACGCCGCGCACCCGGACCTGCTTGCCTCCACCCTCCTTGTGGACTTTGAGGAAGTTCACCAGCCAGCTCTTCCCTTCGCCCCCGAAAGCTTTCTCTGGCATCAAGTAGCGCTCCATCAGGTCAGTCGTTGTGGACTCGATCGTTTTCGCAATCTCAGTCACGTCCAGCTGTGTCAGAGCAGGGGTAGACAAGAGGGAGAAGGATGAGCAACAGTGCAGTTACGAACCTCACGTAGCAACATCATACAAACATGCGACCTCACCTCTTGTCTCTGGAAGCAACAGTTGAGGTCGTTCATGTCCGCCAAGATGTCGGCCAAGAAAAACAAGCAGAACTGAAACTTGTAGCAGATGACAATCTCGTACGCCTTGTGATTGTGCTCCCAGAGCAGCACGATGCAAGCGCCGAGGACCTTGCACAGCCTGGCCACCGCATCTCCTCGAGACAGCCACCGCACCGTGTGGATGCCTTGGACTTCAAGGTTGGTCTTGTAAATCACACGCTGCAGGTACTTGAACCGCTGACTCCACACGCTGGAGTTTCCGAGCAGAGTCGCCACAGTGCGCACCACCTTGTCGACCATGTCGAGATCCGGGTTTGAGTCAGCGGCGTCCTTCACAGCCAACGCCTCACTGTGTAAAGCAGGGAACAAGTATTATGGTTTGTTAGTAAACCAATCAGCGTAGATAACATGCTACAATACAGACCAACTCACATACCGATGGGCGATGCAGTGGCATGAGAACAAATGAGGGACGTGTTCACGAAGACGCGCCACCAATCCGTTCTCTCTCCCGGTCATGACCGACGCCCCGTCCGTGCTGATGCCGACGATCTTGGACACATCGACGGTAGCGGAGCGAAGATGGTTCAGAAGCACCTCAAACAAGGACCCTGCATCACACCGCTCGACCGCCAGCAAAGTGAAAAACTCGCATGCAACTTGGCGGTTCTTAAAAAATGTAAGGTACACAATCATGTGTTTCCCTCGCGTGCGGTCAGTGCTCTCGTCGCACTGGGTGCCCAGGAATGGTGATGCCAGGACGTGGTCCATCTGCACCCGGGTGAGGTAAGTGCTCATGCTGTGGACCATCTGCTGGAAGCCGTAGCTGCAACAAAGGACAGAGAAATTATCAGTACACGATAGTCAAGCAAGTTGTTTGACGTGCATGTTTAAATTTGCATTCAATTCGAACCGTCACTTACCGCGTGAGATAAACGCCGTACGACTGCCGGGGAATGTCTGGCGTGTCCTGCTCCACAAGATGCCGCATCAGCTTAGGAAACATGCTAATCGGCGCGTCGCACTAGCACAGGAACTGAGTCGACCGCATCAGCCGTATCGCGCGGCGGCCCTCGACGTCGGAGTTGATGAAGTCTGAAATCACCTGCTGCCCCTCGCGGATTCCCGCCGCAATCTTCATCTGGCGGTCCACTGCCGCCATGTGTGCGTCCGTATGCTCGTGCGCCCGGAACGACTGCGTCTGCAAGTCACGGCCTCCGTCGTCTCCCTGCATGGCGTACCTCGTGTTCCCCTTACCGCACGACATGCAGATGCTGCACTTCACGTACGGGAAACCGTCCTTGGTTTTCCCAAACACAAGCCAAGAAAAGTATCCCGCCCACTTTGTCTCGTAATTCATACTCGCCTCCAGGTACATCTGCTCTCGCAGCTGCGTCTTGGTGAGTGCCGGCGAGCCGGTATCCGCACGCACCGGGATGTCACCTTCTTCCGGCAGCTCAGCTTCTTTCTGTGCAGGGTCATCGGGCTTTTCCGGCGGTGGAATACGGCGGCCTCCCACCAGCAGAGTACTCTGCGCCCACTTACCAGATCGCGCACGCTTGGGAGCGGAAGTAGCCGACGGTGGGCCAAGGGACACCCGCACCGTGCTTGGAGTAAGACTGGGCGAGGGCGGTGGAGGATCTTTGCTGCAGCCAGCAACAGCCGGGGGGAGAGTGAACGCGACGGGAATAGGAGAAGCAGTAGGAGTAGGGGTTACTACAGGGGC